ATCCCTTCTTCCACTTGTAGGAAGCCGTGGAAACCGGATCCTATCAAATAAGGATGGAAGCCAAATTGATTCCGTTTTGATTATGGGATATTTTCATTACATAATTAGTAGGGTGTAAATATGTACTGATTTCTTTCTTACTTTAGGGTATTAGGTTTATTTCCTTATTTACCAATTCCTGTAAATTATATATTGTACCAATTTCCATTGAATAAACATTAAGGAATTAATCACAATTCATTTTTCGACACGGTATCAGAGCGGGTTCGTTTCTAACCTAGCTAATACATGGCCCGAATCAGCCACGCATGACAGGGGATCCATGACCTCTGACTCAGAAGCTAAAGTCACGCCTGCCATGAACACAAGACTCAACTTTCCAACTCTCTATAGAGAAATTGAATGGGAAGAACCACAGAGAGTGGGCACAGTCGATAAAGTTAATAATCGACGGAAAAGGAAAACTTGGATACTTAACTGGTGAAACCAAGATGCCGGCCTCAACCAACGTGGCTCTCCTTCAGAAGTGGAAATCGGAGAATTCGATGGTGACTGTCTGGCTTGTCAATTCCATGAAGCCTGCCATCGGGAGAACATACCTATTTCTTCCGACTGCAGAGGATGTTTGGGAGGCGGTGAAAGAGATGTATTCGGATTCCAAGAATTTTTACAGAATTTTCGAAGTAAACACAAAATTATGGCAAACGAAACAAGGAGATCGAGATGTAACGGAGTATTACCTGGAGATGACCAGATCATGGCAGGAATTAGATCAGAGTTCAGAGGAGGAATGAAAGTGTGCCGAAGACAGTGTGCAGTACAGGAAGAAGCTGGAAACGGAACGGGTCTTCGAATTTCTCGCGGGTCTTCATTGCGATCTTGACGAGTTTCGCGGTCAGATACTTGGCCGGCGACCCCTACCCACGTCGCGGGAAGCTTTTTCGGAAGTCAGACGGGAAGAGGACCGGCGAAAGGTCATGTTGACTGAATCGGGCAAGCCGACGTTGGAGGTCTCTGGCTTGATCTCTAACAAATCTGGGCCCTCTACCTATGGGCTGAAGTATAAGGAGGCAGGCCTTATTAATGGGCCAACTAATGGAAATAATGGACCAGCTAGGTTTAATAGTGGGCTGGACTTGAATAATGGCCCAAACAACTCAAATGATGGGCTTACATTCTAAAGGAGGCACAGCTAGCCGGGTCCAAAACCCCGAGGTCGACCTTGGTGTGAGCATTGTCGAAAGCCAGGGCACAAAAAAGATACTTGTTGAGATCTACAAGGAAAACCGAGCTATTGGAAGCCTCGACAAAACAGTAAAAATCGTGGGTACCAAGCAACTTTTGATCACCACAAATGGGAAAGACCGAGTCTAGAGGTGCATTCAATACCGAACAGATGGAGCAACTTTACAGAATGTTTTCCAGCCTCCAATCGTCAAGTCAAACATCCGCAAAAAATCCCTCTAGCTCGTTAGCACACAAAGGTAATTTTTTAAATGCCTAGCATTTTGCAAATCAATCTAACATCCTCTGGATTATCGATTCAGGGGCATCTGACCACATGACGGACTCCTATCATCTGTTTTCTACATATTCCACCTATGCCGGCAACCTAAAAGTTAAAATTGCAGATGGCGGACTGTCGTCGGTCGCAGGAAAAGGGAGTATTAAAATTTCTAACTCTATAATTCTAGAATTTGTCCTTCATGTTCCAAAGTTGTCGTGTAATTTACTCTTCCATAAGCCAGTTGACCAAAAACTCAAATTGTTATGCTAAATTTTTCTCATCTTACTGTGTTTTTCAAGACCTATCATCGGGGAGGACGACTGGCAATGCTAAAGAACGTGAAGGACTTTACTATTTTGATGAGACCAATGTGAGTAAACAACAAGTCACATTTTGTAATTCTACTTCTGTCCCTACAGATAGTGATATTTTGTTATGGCATTTTAGAATGGGTCATCCAAACTTTCAGTACCTAAAACGTTTATTCCCGTCACTATTTATGAATAAACGGTCTTTTGATATTCAGTGTAAAATATGTGAGTTTGCAAAACATCACCGGACATCTTTCCCAATCTCCACATATAAACCTTCCAAATCATTCATCATGATACATAGCGACTTATGGGGTCCCTCACGAATCCCCAATCGAACTCATACAAAGTGGTTTGTGACGTTCATTGACGATCACACTCGACTTTGCTGGGTGTACCTACTAAAAGATAAATCCGATGTTCGCTCCGTATTCATCAATTTTTATACCATGATCCGAACACAATTTCAGATACACTCCAAACTTTACGTATTGATAATGGCACCGAATACTTCAATGCCACCATGGGTGATTTTCTCTAATCCCATGGAATAATTCATCAAAACTCTTGCGTCAACTCTCCACAACAAAATGGGATTGCCGAACGTAAAAATAGACAACTTCTAGAAGTTGCTAGGGCGTTGATGTTCACTTCTAATATGCCAAAATGTTTTGGGGATGCAATACCAACATCCACCTTCCTCATCAACAGGATGCCAAGTCAAACTTAAACTGTAAGTCTCCTCTCCAAACACTTCAAACACTTTTTCCTACCTGCTGTCTTAGCTCCAACCTTCCCTTATGAGTGTTTGGTTGTACTGCCTTTGTTCGTGTTCATCGCAGAGGTAAACTTGATCCTCGAGATGTTAAATGTGTTCTACTCGGTTACTCTCCTACTCAAAAGGGCTACAAATGCTATGATCCCTCCACAAAACGAATCTTTGTAAGTATTGAAGTCACCTTCTTCGAAATAACCCCGTATTTCAAACAAACCTCTNCGGTTCTTTGAATTCGACCTTCATCCTCTTGATCCTACATCTACCAACAACCCCATAGTACCATCTAATATGTCATTAACAGAGGAAAACTTACCGTCAGGGGGAGATGTAGAAAACAAAAGTAACTGAGATATTGGTTTACTCACGGAAGCCAAAATCAAAGTACAAAGAAACCATCACAACTGAGGCACCAAAAGGGTCCAAACCGATGATAGCTCCACATGAAGCTTCAGAAATTCCTGACTTACCCATTGCTCTCAGAAAACCTACTCGGTGATGTACTCTCCATCCTATTTCTAAATTCATGTCTTATAATGCTTTATCTACTAGATTTCGTACTTTTACATTTCACCTTGATAGCACAAAGATCCCGAGAAATGTTGAAGAAGCCCTAGAAACCCCTAAATGGAGGGAAGCCGTATTGGAGGAAATGAGGGCACTAGAGAAAATTGAGACCTGAGAGGTATCGGATCTACCGAAAGGAAAGAAACCGGTTGGGTGCAAATGGGTCTTCAATCTAAAATACAAAGCAGATGGGACAATAGAAAGGTACAAAGCTCGGTTGGTTGCAAAATGATACACCCAAACATATGACATCGACTACACAGAAACATTTGCACCAGTAGCAAAATTGAATACAGTTCGGGTCCTTCTGTCCTTAGCAGCCA